TCGTCGTCGTCGTCGTCGTCTCTCTCTCTCTCTCTCTCTCTCTCTCTCTCTCTCTCTCTCTCTCTCTCTCTCTCTCTCTCTCTCTCTCTCTCCCTCTCTCCCTCTCTCCCTCCTATGGTCTTCTAACCCTAGCAAGACCGTTTCGTGAAGCTAGCAAGGCAGTAACGTTTTTATATAACTTCACATAGATGTTTATGCTATATGTTAATTCGGGTGGCACTCCGGCAGCCCATGTTTATACTATGTTAACTCGGGTTTCCCAGCAGCGGCCAGCGATGGTAGAAAATTATGAAAAATTGCTCTAAAAAGATGCTTGTCCGGCAGACAAGCTACCTGACAGATCTACTTGTCCTCCGTGGAAATTGACAAGTACGGACAAACGGATAGCCCTTATTTCGAACACTGGGATGGTATCAGGAACCTTCTCGGAGAAATGTTCGTTGGGATCGTTATGAAAGTTGCCACGAGATGGCGCATACGTTTAAATGTCTTAAGATTAAAGATGGAAGCTGGAAGCTTCCATCGTATGTAGTATAGTAACAACTATTTGCAAGACAGAATAGGTAAGCCCTCATCCATTTACCTACGCAAGCCTACAGGCTGAAATAGAGAGCTGCCACCTGTAACTAATTAATGCAGGCAAAAACTACACCATACTATCACCACCACATGCACTGGCAGTGGCCACTGTCAGTGGCATAATTAAGTTACATGTAACAAACTGACAGTACAGGATGCCACAGAAATTATACGATTTAAGGAGCATAAACCTTCTTCAAGCAAATTTAGCTTTTGAAATTTCACTGTGACATTGTAGCCTCATACATCCAGGCATGTATAAATTCTACTAGCAAACCCGGCAGTCAAATTCTTTCTAACAGTAAACAAATCCATGTTTAACCCTCCTCTTGAGGGTCAAAAGGTTATCAGACACTTACTCTTCGCACGGCAGTGGAAAGCACATTTCATGGTCCTTTCAATAAAGCCATAAAAATGGTAGATCACCGCTAAAACAAAAAGGTTTTTCAATCGCTCCGTCACACCATGTCCTCAGAAAATGTCTAAAATCTGCCCTGTGCCCCATTGACCTTTGACCTGTGACCTCCAATTTCGGCACAGTGATGGCTTTTCCTACTATGATGCTATGCACCGACTATCACGAACCTAGGTCGAGCCGTTTCGATTTGTGCCGCAATTCTGCATTTCCTCCCAATACCTTAAGTTAAAGAGGGAATGTTCCCCCTTCTTTTACACCTCTTGACCTTTGACCTATGACCCCCCAGCTTCGACATCCCAACTCGCTTTAGGATTACCCCTCCACGTCCCGAATATCGTGACCGTACGTCGAGCCGTTTAGATTTGTGCCCAACTGTTGACGGACGCACGCACGGACGCTCGCACGGACGATCATGCGATTCTACAAGCTGCATCTGACTATGTCAGATGAGCTAAAAAGCCAACCTACCTACCCCAACTTTTCAGCCTGAGTCGGGTGAGGGCAAACAAATATTTTTTTAATTGTGGCCCTGTCTGTCTCCTTCTCTTGCTCTCTTGCTCTCTCTTCCCCCTCTCCTCAATGCACTGTCTGTCACTAGATCTCTCCTCATCAACTCCCATCTCTCCCTCCAGTCCAGCCACTCCCTCCCCATCTCTTTATCCAGCATTCTCTCGCTCGCTCTCTCTCCCGCTCCCCGATTTTCCATCATTCACACACTTTTCCACCACAGAACCATAACAGACACCCTCTCACGTCAGCAGAGCTGGCAGGAGGAGGAGAGCGAGAGAGAGAGCAAGAAAGAAGACAGAAAAGAGTCAGAAAGAGACATGAAAAGCAAGAGAGCGAGACAGACAGACAGACAGAGATAGATAGATAGAGACAGATAGAGACAGATAGAGACAGATAGAGACAGATAGAGAAAAAGGGTAAACGAAGAGCAAGACGTGACTCTCGACAGACGCGCGGCGCGGAGACTCTCTCACTCACCCGTGGAGTCCCCGAAAGAATCCGCCAGAAAGAGATGGATAGCAAGAGAAGGAGACAGACAGAGATAGAGATAGAAAAAGAGATGGAGAGAGAGAGCACGAGAGAAGGAGACAGTCAGAGATAGAGAGCAAGAGAGAGAGAGAGAGAGACAGAGATAGAGAGAAACAGAGTGCGCAAAAGAAGGAGACAGACAGAGATATATAGAAAGAAAGAGAGCCAGATGGAGAAAGGGGGGAAAACGAACAGCGAGATGCGGCGACTCTCTCACTCACCCGTGGAGTCGCCGCCGAGCAGCCGCAGCATGCGTCCCTCGGCAATCGTCTCGAACGACGGTCCACCGAGCATCGTGTAGACGCCCTCGCGCATGAAGCTCGTGAAGCCCAGCTCGTTGCCAACCTTCAGCGCCAGCTTCAGCAGCTTCTGGTCGTAGGCGTTGCTCATCGCGATGAAGCGCGGCCCAAACCTGCAGCCGACGACGACAAACAATCAAACCGACGTTTAAATCGAGAACGCGCCGCTGACAAACGGGAACGCGGAAGGGTGTTGTTCAATCAAGAATGCGTTGACGACGGGAAACGGAACAGACGTTCAATAAAAAGCACGTCAAATATATAAAAAATGTCGAATGGGAATCGGATGCCTTTGCGTTTACCTTAATTCTATAGTATTATAGCACATGGCTAGAATGAATGACTATTGCGAATAATTTTTTCCCAACAAAATCTTACTGTTCTCTTAATCGATTTCCAGGGAAACAGTGATGGAAATTTGAACTAGAACCGTTCATTGAGACCCCTGCCAAAACATTAGTGTTGTTTTTTGTTGAGTTGATCATGCGATTGGCCTAGCTTGATTAGAAAATGTTGTTGGTTGTCAGATGCAGTGCTTTGCTTTTGAAAGTTCCCACCTAAAACTAAAGGTCTGCTGAGCCTTCTGAGATTAGATTCCGTTTTGAGATTCAGGCCCTCACGCCTGAATTTTTTTTGTAGAAAGTTATTTTTGCTCACGTTTTAGGAAAACAAGCTTGAGACTGTGTGAGGGTTGCAATCGTATCACGACTTCACCATGCCAGTGAACCAGAGGCACACGCGCGCACATACATACATGTGTACATGATGGAATGGCTGCAGTATATGTAGATGAACTGCCTCAATACAGTAGTACCTAATCCATCTATCGTGACCCAAACTGGACAATTCTCTAGAGATTTTGGTAGGCAATTACTAATGACACGGTTTAATAATGAATGCAAACATAAAGCTAGCCATTATTTTAACAAGTTTTTCGTCTGCGACAGTACACCTTGCAAAATTCAAAGGTAATTATGTATTGCATTACCAACTAGCAAGATACCCACCCTACCCGTATCACAGAATCAAGAATTTTTCCTCCGCAAGTTTCAAATTCAGAGATTGTATGATCAACACCTGTCATTGTTGAGTTAGAGCATAGGGGGTAAATGTAGGATTAAGGGTTAAGAACAAGATTAAGCTTAGGGTTAGGGTTGGGCAACAGAATTCGAATATCGAATATATCGAATATATAGTCGAATATATTATGCGAACATAGTCGGCATATAGAATTCGACGGCCCCCCACCTGTCGTCGTTGATCCCGCGTAGGGGGTTGTCACCGGCAAACCCGGGGAAGTACAGCTGGTCCTTGATGACCATAAGATCTCCGACGTTGAAGGCCGGGTTGAGGCCGCCGGACGCATTCGTGACGATGAGCGTGTGCGCCCCCATGAGGTGAAACACGCGCACGGGCATCGCGCACTGAAAGCAGAAGCATCGCCACCACCGCCGTCAGCAAGTTATAGCCACCGCGTCGATCACGCGTAAATTGACTCAGCGATTACGTCCTCGATGACAGATAGTACGAGTTGACTAAGACGAGTTGACTAAGAGGTCACGAATTCGCGACCGGCAAATCGCAAACACGAGCCACTCCCAGGATGTGATCGAACACACGAGAGTGACCGTGAAATGACGACCGATTCAACTATCCGTCAAGCCGTGACAACTACTTCACCCTGCCCGCTAATATTGTTGTTGTGTCAGCACCACTAGACCCAGTTCATACACGTTTGCACACCAAAATGTCGACTTCTCGTCGTTAAAGGTTTACTTTTGACTTGTTTGCGGCATTGTGATGTCTAGCATTGCCTTTAGAATGTTCATGCTATTGCAATGTTGATTGGCTAGAGCTGCCTGTCAATCAAGCCAGACGGATAGGTCAATCGAATGGTCATACTAGCTGACGTACTGTCGGTTACTTAAAGGAATAATATGGCCATTGATTATGCAATGTTGACGAATGCTAGAGTAACTGGCACCTTGTGTAGTTAAAGGAATAATATGGCCATTGATTATGCAATGTTGACGAATGCTAGAGTAACTGGCACCTTGTGTAGTTAATAAGTACATTACTTTATAGCCAAAGTACATTACTAAGAAATGTCTAAATGAAATCCGCAGTCCAAGAAATGTTTACAGTTTACCGTTTCACTTTCAAATCGCTGCCAGCGAAGCGGGTGTGATACAGATTTATAGTGCACTGGACATTTTCGCACGCATGCTCGGCCGTACGCAATGCTATCATCAGTGATTTCGTAAACACGGACGTTCGTGATAAGGAACTTTTTGTCAGGGCTGTCCATGTGCGTCCGTGATGAGTACATGTGTTTTACTCCATTTCCATGTTTAGTCCGTGGCAGTGGTTACACAGAAGACACCTCCATTTCATCTGGCTTCCAAAACATACGGGCCACACAAATGTTTACGTCATCGGCGACTTATCGCTCGACTCCTGGATGACATTTACGGCACGTAAATGAATATCAACAACCAATTTCAAGTCTTGCTTGTAATGTAACCAGCAGTGATATTGGACAAGCTAATACGCGTTTGGCTATAAGGTTATGTATTTATTAACTACACAAGATGCCAGTTACTCTAGCATTCGTCAACATTGCATAATCAGTGGCTTCCTTTAAGGATACTCTCCACCTTTTGCACGGGTATTGCTCTAGTAAAGATTAAACATTTATTGGCGAATGAATCGAATCAATCACTTGTTTTATTTATAGAGGAGATATATCTCTATGCTCAAGCCAAAAAATTCATGAAATTCCAGCCCTAATTCATGTTACCACAGCAAATTTTGAATTTTCTATGTAAAAAATGTAATTTTGGATATTTCTCACTAACCAGAAAGAGTGAGGATACAAAATTTTTGCCACATGTTAAGCACAAATATGGACCAAAATAGTTCGTCTGGATTTTTCTTTAATACATATAACATATTTACCGAGAAAACTGGAAAAACCTGCTTAAAAATCCAGTTGTGTTAGAATTGAAAATTTTAGCGAATAAAGAGCATAACTAATAAAATACGGCACTTAATAACAATCCCTGACGCACTTCTTTACAGCAATATAGTACCATTAAAATTAAATTAATCCGAGTTGTAATCACAGAGAAATATCCATTTATAGACATCGGCTACTATATCAGAAATCGAACACGGAGAACATCAATCGCTTTCTTATTTTCACAATGAGTGACCGCTCTGTGTGCAAATGGTGAACGTATGTGAAATATCTACTGTTAGTACTTACTGCGGACATATCCAGGACTAACTGACACCACTAAATTGGTAAAAATGTTCCATGCACCTTGAGAAATTCTGAAGAAATTACGAGGTTAGCCATCGCAGAACGCGAACTCCCACTCATCCATGACGTCACAAAGCTAATATGTCAACAACGTGTGCTTGTACCCCACTACAGTAAGGTGTGTTGCGAGTGTTAGAAACTATTTTGGGCGTGGAATACTTGTTGGATCACTAGCAAATGTACATGAATAAATTTAAATGACAGCTGTAGCACTAGCAGGGTTGACACTGGAATGATACTGGCTTAGTGAATATGTGGTTGTATCATGTCTCTGACCTCATCATACGTCAGCTCGCTGCTTACTACACATGTACGCGGCAATCAATTCGCTCTGACAGTTCACGATGTACGCGTATAATGAAGAAATGAGCAGTACGAAGGTGGCCACATAGTGTTAGCATCCGAATACAATTGAAAAATAAAAAATCGGTAACAAATTTTTCCTAAAATACGCTTGAGAGTATCCTTAAGCATGCACACCAACAGTTTAGCAACACAATTAACGCGACTGTTAATCCGAATAGCTGAAATAACCTAATGGATTCATCGACGATTATTAACACCTTGACTACGTTTAA